GCGTGCGCCACGGTGGCAAGCGCCGCTGCCAACGCGCAGGCTGCTGCCGCAACGTCCGGACCGGCACCTTTTGCTCCAAGCACAACCCCGAGGTCGACAAGCAGTGCTCGGAGGAGGGCTGCACGCGCCAGGCCCACGCCCGCCAAAAATGCGTGCGCCACGGCGGCGGCCGGCTCTGCAGCGTCGCGACCTGCTCAGCGTATGCGCGGCGCGAGGGCATGTGCATTCGGCACCACCGCCTCGCGACGGCCGAGTCGTCGCTCGACGACTCCAACACCATGTCGGAAGAGGACTTTGCCGCGCTGCTCGAAATCTGCGAGCACGACGACGGCGACGACGAGGTGGTTGCGACGCCGGTTCCGCCCCACGAGGAGCTCGCGTTCATCGAGTCGCTCGTCAACAGCGCCGTGTTCGACCACGTGGTCGAGTACGCGGTCGGTCGGTCGGTTGTATGACCCGCGCAGCGTCTCTCAATCAAGACGCTCCCGGTCGCTTTCAAAGGTCTATTTGCTCGAATCGAACCCACATATCTATGTTTCCCGCTCGTTTTGTCGTTGATGTGGATATGCCCCAACATCTTATTGCATTGGATGGACTATTACATGTCATGTACGTAACGTACTCGGCGTGTCCGTCGACAAGGGCACATCGCCGCTGGATTAATTCTACCAACGACAAGAGCCTCAGGGCTCATATGAGCCCTTGCGAGTCCCAAGAAGGCCTGCTAGCCAGTACTACGCACAAAAGGAATTGGGTTGGCCGCTCCTCGGAATATGACTTTTCTTCACGAAGAGAAAGCGACTCGTTCGAGACGCCCTCGCCCGCACACTAAAGCAAACAGTCATGAAAAGAATGGGTACGAAGGGTATCGAAGTGCTGCCAAGGGTCTTCACGTCGCAAGTAAGACGCTGGATGACAACGATGGAGTATGTCGAGCGAGCTCGATTGGGCACTGCCACTAGATTACCAAGGCGGTTCGTTTCGGCAATGGGAGCAGCCGCACAAGCGTTGATAGGCCTCTCGAATGAAGAAGACGAGGAGCGCGGCAAGGGACCCCCAAATGGGCGACCATGGAGCCCAATTCAGTGGCTTCGAGCTAAATCTTCTTCCTCGGTCGAGGTGAGAATGGCCACACCCGGACGTACCAGTACGCTGGCTCCCCATTAGGTCCTTCTCGAGGGCAGGCGAAGACTTCAATGATGCCTACTGTAGCGAAGCAGATGTGTGCATAGATTATCGCGTACCCTGCTGTACCAGACCGCAACTGCAAACGGTGGGATCGCCGATGTCCGACTCTTCGACTCTTCGTTGGCTTTTTAAACGATTTCCCGGCCTCCAAGAATAATCAGTACCCCGTGGCTCGCGCCCACAGCAGCAATAGCAATAGCAATAGCGCCTTGTTTCTGCGAGAAAAAGTGCTCCCTCTCTTTTGCGTCCGTTGCCGCGTTCTCGGACGCGTCCCCAGGAATGGTTCTCGCGTTGGGAGCGCCAAAGAGGAGCTTTGCCGGCGCCTTGATGACGCACGGCCGCGTATGCTCTCGTTGCGACAACAGAGTCGCAGGAACGATGGCAGTGTACATTGCACGACGACACTTGGCCGCGGCCCACTTGCCAGCGCCAGCTCGTGCTCCATCATCATCGTGGTGTAAACGCATCCTCGCATAGAACCTACTAAGGTACCTTCCATACCGCACAGGCTACCCATTAGCTCATGCTATATGCGTTGAAGTCCGCCTGTCTACAACACTTGTAGCGAAACAACAAATGCGTCTTTCTCAAAAAACCGCAATGTGCCAAATAGTGGCAAAACACCCGCAAATGACGAATGCGTGCATCGGATTGGCTTTGAAGGATGGGAAACGGTGTTGTGATTGGCTGATTGGTGAGCTTGCGGGCTTTATGCAAATATGTGCGGCAAATTGCCGTTTTTGTGAAATACTCAGCAAATGCGCATCAAGCCGGAACACCGCACAGGAACCCTTGCCCTAGAGCAACTGGAAACGTGGACGCGAGACCTGTCTACAAGTTGGAGTACAGAAGATACGCCATCATCCCTTGCAGCGATGCTCTGTTTACGTCCTATTTGAGAGGCTTCACCGGTAAGAGTTCGAGGGAATGTCGCGGCTGACATCAGCAGAATCGACCCACCCTGTCCGTGTCCATGGGTGGTCTATCGAGCCGGCGCCAGTGGCCGAACCATTCGCACCGGACGCCGTCGCGGCGACCGCTAATGCGTGTCTTGACCATCGCCACGGGCCCACTAAATGTTCAGTCGAGCACACCGTGTTCACGCCACCAAGCGGCGGGACGTGATCATCTTCCAACCGGTTGTGCGCCTCGACTGGTCGCCGTATGCCCCAAGTGCCAACATTGGCTAGCTTTGTAAATAGTATTAATATTGCCAGTAGTAGCCGGTCGTCTAGGCGTCTGAACGCCAAGAGCCTCTCGGCATTACGCGCATCGCAGCGCCAGATTTCGTCATGTGGCGGCAGCAATAACCTCACGCCACGTCCAATGCAATTGAACAACCGTCCAAGTATGTAAGGGGGTCCACCCAAGAGCGCGGTATTGGATGACTTTTCAATGGTTTACACAAGAGGACTTGGCTGCTGCGCGCGTGTAATCGACCTGCGCAGGTGCTGCCGCCATCGCCAACGGGAGGATCGCCACTGTACACTACTACCGGTGCGTCCGTCCCACCGCATCAATGGACATGGCCACCCGACACAGGCGCCAACCAACAAGATGGTTCCTGGTGCTTGCTCGCGCACCTGGGCACGAGAATGCGAGTAGCGAGCAAGCCACGATGGAGCATACGTACGTAAGCGAATTCGCCGAAAGATTCAGCTGCCGACGTCTTGAGTGTTCCCACTCTCCTCCTCGCCGCATGGGCGTACAGTTGGACGTCAGCCGCGAAGTAGCATAAACAGCTCCTGACGCCATTCGCCCTTGCATCCAGACGACGTGCGTGCAAAGCAAAGCGTGCGATCAGTTTTCGCATTTTTAAATATCTGCCATGCCGCACCGCCGCAAGCTGCGCTGCTGCTTCCACACGTGCTCCAACGTACCCCCAAGA